CCATCATAAACAAACTTAGTGTTTAGTAAGGGCTGTTTGAGTATTCTCTAAGTCATACACACAGGTCTTACCTTTAGAGTCCTCATTGGGATAAGCAGGCATCACTGTAAGTCCGACCACAAGAACAAGGATCAGGAGCACAATATGAGCTTTCATTTTCTACAGGAGAAATGAGGTTTAGTGTAGTCCTTTGGCTTCAATTCCACATTAAGGGGAGAAAAACAGATTTTTAATAATAGCTCATCTTACCTTTTTATTCACGAGCAGTAGCCTCTCAATGGGTCTTTAAAGTTATAACTGCTGTTTACAGTGTCTCAGACTGACTTATAAACCAGTCCAGCAGGACTTAAGCTAGGTGTGCACATGTCAGAAGCATCTTAAAAATCTACCCAGGTCAGTTTTGGGAAATAAAGTGTTCTAAAAATAAATCACATGTTCCCTGTATTCAAAAGCACAGAGCTTGGCGAACTGAACTAAACTGCTCACACTGATATGAGGTATTTGACTGGGTTAGCAATAAAGAGCACTCAAAGCAAACATACTGACGCTAAATAAAAACAATGATTGTGAAATAAAAGACTTGAAACTAAGCTTCAATTTAAATTTGCACGTATAAGCAAGGCAAATAGGAGTTGAAACTATTCATCTACAGTCACTCTGTTTTAATGTTACAAAAAGTCAAACCCTTTTTAAAGTAATCACGAAAACCCGTGTTTTTGTTACAATGAGATCCACCAAAAGGGCTCCGTATAAACGACTCCTTCTGTAATTCCTAGTATTCTATGTTGCAACTTGTAAACAGTAGATGAACAGATACATCATGACTGCATATTTTTCAGCAGTGTAACTATGTAGCTCTAAAAAAAAAAAGAAATAGAAAAAGTGTGCCATTTGCATGTTGTTTTTCATTTCCCCAGATGACTGCAATTTAGAAACAGAGTAACTTCATATTTATCAAAGATTTTGTTTTGTCAAAGAGCTTGTTTTTCTTAGAGTAAAATGAGACTCCCCTCCTCCGCAGTTCTGTAAAAAAGTCAATACAAACTCAGAAAATCTCCCTGTGACTCTTCAGCTAACCTCTCCAAATATCTTATTGTCAATACTATTATTATCACTTTTGTAACTGCTATTGTTTTTGCAGAATAACATACCAGACAAAAACAAAATGTAGAAGAGAATAGTATGAAGTTAGAAGATGTCAAGGTGTGTGGAGTGTAAGGCTGAGGATTCAAATGCAGAACACAAGAGGTCGACTTCAGCAAAAAGTGAGCCTTTAATATGGTTTATAAGAGAAAGTCTAAAATAGCAGAGAAAAGTCCAGAAAGTAAAGAAACAATAATCCAATAACCACAATGAGTGAGGCTAACAGTATGCTGAGCACAGGGAACAAACACGGGAAATGGAGTAGATGCTGTGAAAAAGTATAAAGGCTGATTAGGGAATGTCCAACAGCAGAGTAAGGACTGGCAAGGACAATCAGGCAGATGAGAGCAACACTACACAGGGCATGAGAGAAACAAATCTTCACTGTAAAATAGGAAAAAATACAATGGGTACTAACACTTAACATGTATGAAAGAACATGAAGACTAACACTTAACACAAAAAGATGTGACAGAGAGAGGAGCAGATAGGGAAATGCTCAGGGAACTTAAACATCTACCAAAAACACGGAAAATAATAACACAAAATCCACAGAATCACAACAGCCACACCGAGGAAAATGTCAGGTTAAAATAACCCATAATTAGCCAACTTTTAAAAATCTGTTTAGAAAAAAATGGATAAATCTAATCACAAGTTTGAATTTGCAAATGTCACACTGATGCAATATTTCAACATTGTAGAGCCTCTAATGTGGGCCTTGCTAGTGTTTGCTCAAAAAACAATTTATTTAGATTATGATTGGTTACACATGTAAACCATCAAAATTGTATTTACTTACAGAGAATGCACCTGCAAAGTAATGCAATCCTAGCTGAACAATTAAGTTAAAGACTGAGACACTTTAACTAAGAAAGAATTCACACAGTTCCTATTAACTGCATTAAATCAGACAAATTTAATGATCTTTCCATTTTACCTTTTGTTTAATCTTATAAAGGTGTGACACATTCCTCCTCTGATACAGAACGTTGTGTAGTTCAGTGTTTCCCAACCGTTCCACCTGATTAGTACTCTAAGCAATCGGCATGAGTAACGGGCAGGATAATTACCTTCTCTTCCTGCTCTAATTAAATGGTTTGCCAACTGCCAGTGAAACAAAGACAAAGAAGCAATTGCGTAATAGTCATGCTGTGAGACGCGTAATAGCAATAGATAAAAAATATTTTTTTTAAAAAAGTAGTCAATCTGACCTGGGTCCTGGAGAAAATTCTGACCCAGATGAAGGCCCTAGCATGAGTAGCGATCAGAAGAAAGCAAAAAAGGTATACTGGGGACAAACCAAGCCAATTCCGCTATACCTAATGCACGGGAAAAAAATATAATATGCTTTTTGTGACATTTTTGTTTGGTGGTGTGCTGTTTTCTAATGTAAAATAAGTGCCGTGGCTCCAAAAGGTCGGGAAACACTGCTGTAGTTAGATAAATGTTCTCACCATTCTGTGTAGACTATTTTGTTCTGCAGCGCCCCCTAGTGGATAAATGTAAAACTGGCTTATCATAATGTCTGATTTTTAAATATTCTTCCGAGACCCAGCATATTCATTCATGGTCATTTGTCATTTTGGTCTTTATAACTTTTGACTTATTGGAGCTACCCTACTAAGTCCTGATGTGCCTAATTGTGGAATTTCCTGGTCTTTCTGATGATATCTCATGTGTTTGGGTGGTCTCTTTCAGTTCCGAAGAGACAGGAAATCACAAAAAAGTTCAACAGGAAGAAACTTTTTTCCTCGGTTCTCAGGAGAATATGGTCAAAATACATAATTGGTTTAAATGTGCCTGTCTGAATCTTTGCTAGCCTGGGTGATTCTATCACGTTTGTTATGTGGCTTATACATCTTCTCATAAAACCCATCATTTTTATTTCATATTATTTTTACAAATGATTTTACTCTATACTTTTTCTATAGTATATAGAAGTCAGAAACATGAAAGAGAGGAAAATAAGTAAACATGAATAGTGCAGAAACTTTGAAATGGCAGACAAAAACGTTTTATTACAATGGTAATCCATCAGAGAAAATTACTCTTGACTGAATGCTTAAAATCTTAAAAGCAGTACTGAGATTCTAACGTAATGAAGTAAATGTTGTGAGTGGCTCGTTTCCAGGTGCTTATTTGAGCCAAAAGACAACCAGTGATTAACTAGAACCCTTAAGAACAGCTTGAAACAGTCAAGAAAATGGTATCCTTTAGTAAAATCTGTCATCACAAGGCATTTAACAGGGATTCAGTTACAATAGCATGCTTTTACCCACATCACAAAATCAGTACATCACCAGAGATTTAGCTCAAAGCAGCAGATTGGTTGCCTTGAGATAATTATGGCTACAATGTTCAAGCTAACAGTCTGGGGGCTAATAGGCACATCTTTAACTAAAACACTATGTCACACGTAAAGATAATTTAAAAAAAATTGTCAATTTCTCAAATTAAACTAACATTGAAAAAAAATGTTATTAAAGCTCAGCCTTTAGTGGCTTCCTGCTTCAATAACTGGTGAATGATGATGTTGTCTACAGGTCTTAGTGTCTCCAGGATAGCCCCAATTTTAACTCTAAACACTTCATTCAAACATTTTGTGTATTTGTGACACATATAGTAAATTATATAACATATGTACACAGACACCTGAGGTGATAGATCAGGTTGCCTGGTGACCATAATGCAGGTATATTCATATTTTGTGCACCAACAGTGGCTGTCTGGGTTTTTGTTCCGTTTTGGTTAAGTTAGAAAAGTTTGTGATTTGTTCTGCTTTTATCCAACCGGGCTGTTCAGAGATAACACCCACATTGTAAAAATCCCCCTCTGAACATGTCTATGTCATGGTAACTGTACCATGTTTGTTGTACTTTAAAGAATTTCCCAACTTATTATGTTTCAAACTCAAACACAAAATAAATAATGAACAATTTAGATTTCTTTGGAAACTAATTGCCCTGATGTTTCCCCACATCTCATTAACAGAATGGAGTGTGTAATGATTGCATGGTCCATTTGAAAGAATGGCTGCAGATATATATTAAAATAACAACATTATCTCTCCGTTATTAACTTATTTACCGTTTTAATGCTGACTAATTATTAATTGGCAAAATTGTTCACTACAGATGCTTCCGACTGGCTTTACTTCCCCTTTGCTCAACTCAATTTATGTACAGCTGATGCATTTTAGCTCATATCTATTGCTTTGTTTCTGATTAGGAAATGATGCATAAATGGTGAAACATCGAAAACATTTGTATCTGGATTTACTTTGTTTACACTTTAAGCAGTTTGCTCAGCAACAGTCAGCTCTGATGCATATTAGTGTAAATGACCACCAATACACAGCATTACCAGATCACCCAAACCACCTGCTAATGGGATGCATTTGACCACATATCTGCTGTTGTATAAACTAATTTCCCCTGATGCATCTACAGCAAAATAACAAGGAAATACTGTATCAAGGACACAATGATAATTTTCTTTTGTCTTGTCTTGAACCATTTTGCAATTCTAACACTTGGAACAGTCCATACATGTTTGTCACCTTAAACATTTTTAAATAATGCCTGTAAAAGAAGTCTGGTGCCTGTCAGGCAGAATGATGTAATAACCTTTCAAGGGGACCCTTTGATTTACAAGTACCAGCAGAAACTTTGCAGCTGACAGTTACATGTTTAAATGTTGAGATACTGTAGCGGAAACATTTTTTTAGAATCAAATGCGAAAGGCTTTGCATATTACAAAAAATCTTACTGGGTCACTCTGTCTCAAATCATCGTTGTCCTTCAGCTCAGCCATCTTTGACTTTCCTAAAAATATTCATGGTTTGCATATATGCCATGATTTGCTTTCATGCTATGACATTTTGCCCCCAAAACCATCTCACGTTGTCAAAGACCACTATTGACAAAGTAATTTAAATGTTCAAAATTTAATGTAAAATGAAACACACAGAATGCTTTTTGACCTAAAAATGCTATTTTCACTAAACTTCCATGCTGTTTTAAATTTTTCATTGTGTTTAGGATACGTGCCTGAATATTACACTAATGTGTAAATTAATGTTGTTGTTTTTAAAATCTAGAAAGGTATTTAATATCTTAAGGTAACATTTCACAACAATTATCATACAGAATATATCCAAACTTTGAACATTTCGTCGAAAACAAAGGTGGCTGAAAAGAGAAGTTACTAGAAATTTAATGAGTTAAGATGGAATGACCCAAAAAGTTTCCACATCAGTTTATTTTGTTCATTAGTAATTAGTTTAGTGGCTATCGCAAGCCATGTGTTGCTCACCTGTGTGCAATACAGAGAACATTTGTAACGGTTTAAGCCAAGTGAATTATTTTATGAGAGCAGAACAAGAACAACAACGCAGAAGCATCCCTTATGAGTGAATAATGTAATAAAGTCTACAGTTTACTGTGTTTCTTCTCCGTTGCATCAACCCAACCTCGACAAGAGGAGAGCTCCAAGCTACATTTTGCTGCTGGGATCCAGTTACAGCATTGACATTAAAACCAGAGCCCTTGATTGGAAGAATTATGACAACTTATACAGCTGGACAAGTTGAACTCCTCTCTGGTGATGACAGATTCAAATGACATGCTAGCAATGTTTTCTATAGCATCATCATGGTGCTAAAAGGTAATACAAATATACCTGGAAAAATGGCATGTTGATAATTCCTTGTCCAGGTAGTTCCCCTGTTATACACAGCCATTTCATCACAAACTCCTTCTAATCAAACTACCACAACCAACAAACTAACACTGGAGGTTGCCATAAACCACGCTACTGTCTGCACACACTATAGAGATTGTAAATCAGCAGTGGTGTGCTGGTAGTTGACATGTTCTATATAACATCAGAGCTAAGTACAGTTTTTTCCCAAAACATTTCTAAATACGAAGATATGTGACATCACAGCAAAATAAACTCAGGGATGGTACTGAGTGTGCTTGTGTATACCTTAAACTAGACTACTAAAACCCACATCTATACTGTTCATACTCTTTCTTGTAAAGACAAACTCAATTTCCTGTTGTCTATGACATGATGGATAAATGTAAATGCATTTGTTTGGAAGCGATTCAGACTAAACTCCACACAAGACACACAACTCTTGTATCAGTCCTACTTCAAGGAGACGATAACAGTCAACACATGGCAAAACTAAACTAAACAACATAGAGGAGAGCCATTGAGAGAAGTTGCCATTCCAGGAACTTTGCAGTATAATGCAGTTCTTGAGTTTTATTTTGTCCATAGTCAAACAACAGTAAAATGGTTGAAAGCTGGAGTTTTGACTGCACTGCAGTCAAGCTTCAGCCTCTTCAGGTCTTTGCAACCGTGTGGAAGAAATGCACATCTTTTGGACCATCGTTTGGTGTCACAGCTGCTAATGAAAGCTATTTTCCACACATCCCAAGTGTTTGTTTAATTCACCAAGCCCACAGGTGAGAGAAACAAATTAACTGTCCTATGAGATCTGGTTCGCAGGGAGTTGCTGGGAGTTGCCATCATCCCCCCTCTCTGATTGGTGTTTATAAAGGTCACATGGCATGAGAGGGAGGGGCTGTCCCTGCTCTGGCAGCATTGACTCATAAGGTGGTGCTGCCTCCAGTGGGAAGGAGATGGATGCAAGATGTTGATGCTCCTGCTCTTGCAGTCCCAGTGGGTAGTGGGAGGGAGAAAACCAGGCAGCACTGGCTGAGGTCTCTCCGCAGTGTGGGGAAGGATCTGTAAGGGAGTAGCAAGGCCGTTCATCCTGCTCTGCTCCCCCCTGACAGGGGTCCACCAATGAGTAAGGAGGTGGGTCATCTGTAGGGATGTAGATCTGAGTCGAACCTGGACCGACACACTCATCATAGCTACAGGCAAAAGGACAAAAATGAAAAAGTTAGATAAATTACAGAACATTGATTTTATATCATAACATCAGTTACTAAGTTATGTTCTTCTTTGCCATTTGTGCATGTGGGTGTCTGGAGGTGGTTTTCTTTTCTCTTTATTATTTTTTTAGCTTACTCCAAGTGCAGGCACATAAAATGTATCCTTCCAAACATAGGAAAAATGATAGCAACTGCAAAATAACTCATACTTAAAGGGAGTAATCTGCTCAAACTCTTAATGGGCATTTTGTAAAGAAACATGTCTTTAGCAAATTTACAGTTGTGCTGACAAATGGTTCATGTCAGGTAGTGCGCTTGCTGAACTCTCCCAATGCTTATCTTTTTAATAAGCCGGCTTTTAATCTGCTATTTCATGATAGCTTGATGCCATTGCCTTATTTTCTATGTTCAAATACATCCATCCATAATAGAAATTCACAGGAGAATACCATAGGAGACAAGATGGACCCCTCCCACCATCAGACATGAGCTGTTGCACTGAGACATTCAGTTTCAAATATAAAGACAGTTTTAACTATGCACAATCAAGCAATATCTACAATGTGCTCTATATAAAACCATCTAAAACATACATTTGGAAGATAAATAGGCAAGACACAAAAAAATATAAACCTGCAGAATTCAGCTGTAGTCTAGAAAAGGTTTATGTATCTTTAATGCAAATTTTAAATACAGTTGTTCAGTGTTCTGGTAGGGAAAACCAAAGATGCACACTGTTGGCACTCAGGACTGAGCTGTTAATGAAGCCATAATATTGTTTTGCTTGACTAGTGACTCTATACATGCATAGCTGCAGTTATTAAGTCTTAATGAAAAGTGAGATTAAAGTTCCATGGCTTTTGTCAAAATATTCACTTAAGGTTTATAAGTGGGCTTAATCCATGTAAAGAAAACTGGAAATTCAACCTTAAAATTATGAAAGATTTCTGCAGGTTAGATGGATTATAACTGAATAAAAGACAAACAAAATACAAGCCAATGTAAAACGTTTCTTGTTTGACAGCAACTGCGTCATGTTGATGCTGGAAAGATGCAAAGCATGGGCACAATGACGTGACTGGTTCAGCTGCTGTTGTTCTGATCATTGCTCTGCCACTGCAAACCATGAGGAGCCCTAGAATTTTTATTTTATAAAATAGCCCTGTGGAAGTAATGGTAGATGAGAATGGGCCGTAGGAAGAGGTAAATCAGCGTAACTTAATCAGCACAGTGGTTAACAACATCAATACACAGCAGTGCCACACATGTGTGTATGAGTTTCTTTCTTTCTTTTTCAATTTCATTTTAGTTCAATTCAATTTTATTTATACAATACCAAATCACAACAGCAGTTGCCTCAAGGCGCTTCATATTCTACAATAATAGAAAGAAAACGGAGAAAACCCCAACAATCACATGACCTCCTATAAGTAAGCGCTTAAGCGATAGTTTCTTTCACGTTAAATTTGTGTCTTTCTGTGTATAGAAAAAGTGAGTGAGAGCTACTTCCGCCATGATGTGAAGATAACAGCTAATGTTCATTCCAGTTGAACATTAGCTGACGTCATTAGCTGTTTCCAGGTCAAAACTCTTCAGGTCTCAAAGTCAAACAAACACTGCGGCATCACTAAGAGTTAGAAAACTTTTCAAATAATGTAAATATGTAAGAAAATTGTGTATGTTTCTGTTCCGTGTCCTGTGTACTGTTTGTTTGTATATTTGTCTTTTTGGCTGCTGTTACAACCAAATTTCCCCTTGTGGGACAATTAAAGGATTATTCTATTCTATTCTATTCTAAATTCTTTCATCTTTAATGACATGATCAGTGTTGCTGCTTTACCAGGTGTAACAATTAAGTTTGACATCCAGGCATCCATAAAAACAGGATTTATTAAGTTTAACAGAATTTGAAGTTAGCAGGGAGTTAGCTTGCTAGTTTCCATCTAAGGTCTATATACCATGCTCTGACTGAGAGATTTCTGAAAAATTAAAACGTACAGCTCTGCTATCTCTTCCGACATAAATGAAGATAGAAAACTAAACAGTGATGTTTGTAGGGTTACTGAAGTTGGGCTTGCTGGTATATAATGATGTGCTACATGGTGGCTAGCTACATGGCTATGGTTAGCATAATATAAACACATGAAGCTGGAAGATGAACACAATCACTTTTTTCCACTTGATAAAAGTTAACATGAGGAGAAATATAATACAAAAAACATAATATAGAAAAATAAAGTTTTCTGCGATAGCTTTAGTTATAATTATTTATTATTAAATATTGTTTATCATTTATCATTTATCATTTATCGTCTTTCTCTTCTCTTTCTCACACCCCCATATAACTCAGGGTTTCAATAAATATATTCATGTGGATTATTTTCACTTGCCTCATGCTAAGAAATCTGACTGTAAACATCAGTGGCATGACAGCACGTTGAGGTGAAAATTGAAGACAGAGGGAAAGTGAGTGCTAGGCACGATGAGGTGTTGTAACACACTCTAAATCCCTGTGTCTCTTGTCTCTGAGGAGCTATATGCTGCTCTGTTCCCACTGTGTCTGTTTCTGCAAACACCTCACACTAGATAATGAATGAGGTGTTTTACACCTTTGTGTGTTCACTAGCATGTGTGTTAGCAGGGTGTGGCAGAATAAATAATAATTCGCCCCCTCTGGGAGACTTGCTGGGAGCTGCACAACTGCTTTTCTGTTTGTTGTTTTGTTTGTTTTTATCTGCTGCTTGTTTCTATTTAAAGTCCAGACATATCATGTAAATGAAATTCAATATCAAGGTATTAATTTATTAATAACTTAAGGATGCTGTTGCTTGGTGGCAAACAAACACATTGACACAATCCTCATGCTACAGTTTGGGAAATCCATGTTTCAACGTTTTTCCTGCATAGGCTGGCTGCTTCTGTCAATTAAGGCTAGGTTTATCTACTAGTTATTTTGCTATTTTATGCAGCTGTATGGAGGTTTGCTTTACAACAAAGCAACCCCCCCAAACTTTCACATGCAACCAATAAGTGAAGCCTGTCAAAAGCAATGGATGAAGTAGTTTGCCACTGATACAAGTGTGAAGAATGTTGCTTTTTCATTTTTCCTATTAACAGTCATGGTTTATTTAAACCCAGATATTTCCCAGACTTCTAACCTTGACCTAAAAGATTTTGTCTTAACATTTGTCACAGTAGAAAAAGAAGTCAAATGCACACGCATGTCAGCAGAAAGGGAGGACCTCTGGCATGTATTCATGCAATGATTATGACGCTCTACAGAGCTGAACACCACACAGCTCTTGCTTACAGCATATGGTCTCTGTGTGTCAGTGCAAGTGTGTGTATTTGTGTGTGTAAAGCCAGCATGTTTCTGCTCTTTACCACTGTGAGAGGTTCTTGCCTGTGGAGTTAAACTGTAGATGGTGCTGCTACTGTGTGTGAATCATACCCAAAACTGATTTGATTTTTACAGCATAAAGCAGAAACAATATGAAACCTCTATATGACATTCAACAAATCAGTTTTCATCATATCAAATTACTCTTAGTGCCAGAAAACAATAATCAGGTGTCTACTTTCATTTTCCTGCTTTTCATCTCTTTACATTACCAGTTTGTGCACAGTGGGAAGATTAGTTTCCTCCTATGAGATGACAAGTGACACTGTGCAGAAATTGCTTTACAGCTTAATAACATGAAAAAACGCTTCCTGTATTTGTCAAACACTTGCAGTTAGTGTCACGCAGCCTGACACAGCAACGGGCAAATTATTGCAAATGCCTCAGCTGCTCCTAAACATGTCATTATTGAATGTTACGTGAAAAGTCACAGATGCAGGCTACTGTTGCTCCATCGTGGTTTACTGCTGTACAACTGGTAAAACACAGGTAACATCTCTGACTGCCTGCCTTTGCAACATGTAATTTACAGTTAATTACATATTATATATCAACAAAGAAGCAAATGTGATTCTAAATTCTCTATAATTCCAAGCTTAAAATACAAATGGATAAACTGTAGTTTTCCATCCATAGGTCATAGTATCCATAAACTGCTGACCAGAAACTAAGATGTTTCCACTGTTGTAGGCAGAACTCTGGATCAGAATCGGCAATCAGACCAGCAGCATATGCTGTGACACTCGAGACCAGACATAATAATGGGCAAACCTCAGCCTAAATTTGAGCAACATGACATAAATATTCCTTTTCACATGCTCACCATAACAGAATTGAAAAAATTATATTAATAGATCAGTGTCTGGACACATGTAAGTGGCAAACACAAAACAAATCAAAAGGAAACAAAGCTGTGACATTAATGCTTATTTAAATCTTCTCAATACACGATGAGAATGTCACACGTGCCTTCCTACACTATGTGCTCACCAATGCTATTATGCAAATCAAATCAGAAAGAAAGGAATCTGTGTCCATGCGTGTGTGTGTGTGTGTGCTTGCTGAGCTTCTCCCTGAGAGGAAGCAGAAGCTTTCAGTCTCCACAGGTGAGGCGCTGATCCGCAAGCGTGACTTTTTTTCTCTACCAGACTTTGTGTGTGTACGTGTGTGTCGGAAGTGTAGCGTTCACAGTCGCAGCAGGTGAGCTGTTGATCTGAGTTCTCTGAGTTTTCCTCAACCATCTGTGGCCTACACACGCAAAAATATGCACGCCCACACACGCTCTGATCATATGACTGCAACTACCTGCTTCTTCACAGGGTACCAAACAATAATTTGCCAGCACTATGGTTACAAAAAAAAGTGTGATTCGAATGTATGGATGTGAGTGTATGTGAGTTTATGCATATGCGTTGGTTGGCTGCTGTCCTGTAGTCCAAGCCAAAAAGTACGTCTCACACGCAGGCGGTCCAGAACATTCTGGTTTCCTGCCAGAGTACTGACGTAGCGCTCTAGCTCCCCTTCCTTTTCCCTGCTTTCCTCTTTGCTTTCTTTCTTCTTGATAGAAAGCTGAGGAGTT